CTTTACCATGCCTGCACTGTACCAAATCTGCTTCCTCAGACTGACAGTCTTTACATGCCAGATATGGAAACAGCCCTTTAGTGAACACTTAGTTTTCAGCATTTATGAAACTGTCAATCTTAGGCAGACCCCCGGGAGAAGGCCTGAGGGCCCTTCCCGTGCCATGCAGATGGCTGAACTTCGTTTTAATGATCACTGAGATTTCTGCATTCATATACCTGCCTGGGAAAGGAGGGGCTGGTTTTCTAGATCTTAATGAACAGCTGTGGTACTAATTGTCATTCTCACCAGTTTTGGGCGAGCAGACAAAGACTGCATGAGCTCTTGGAATAACCCAGCTGTGGGGCGTCCTGGCTGGTTGTGTCTGAAACACAGCAGTGAGGTGGGGCAAGAAAGCCTTTGTTACCCTGGTTCATGTCAGTGTTGTGAAAATTAGAGAAGTTCACTCTCCAGGGTTGCTAACCCAGCTTCTGTTACTGATTCTGAATTAATGTTAAAAAAAGAAAGGTTGTGAAGATATCTCCTGATCCCTGCTGAGTGGAAAAGAACAGTTTGCAGAGGAGATACACTTGTAAGATCACAGCACATCTGCCTTAATGACGTGCCGTCCAAGGATGGGGCACTTTCTGAATTGTGCCAGTGCCCTGCAGGCCTTACAGTGGAGAAGTCTTTTTTTTTTTAAATCGATTTCATAACCTCTTTACCTGTTGGCTGTTATGACCTCCCATAGGCTCTGCAATCCGGAAATATTTATAGATTTCCTTGATGGATGTGCCATAAAGACCTGATCTTCCTCTGTCACTCTTGTTAAAAAGTTACTGTTTGTAGTAAGACAAAGTTAAATATTCTAGCCATAAACTAGCTCCAGTTGAATCTATAGATTTTGAATATAATTATCACCATGTTACAGAAGACAAAAATGAGACAATGAGAAGTGAAATGATAGGCCTAAATATAGAGGTGTTTAGTAGCTGAGATGGGAAGAGCATCCAGAAGTCCTGTATTTTAATATTAGATCTGGTACTGTGTTGCAGATGGATATGGAGTGCTTTGTTAGAATGATAATTAGGTTCTTTGTGTTATTCATTTCGTTGTCTGGTGTTTGTGCTGTAGAGTACTATGTTCACATCCACTTATTACTCTTTAAAGAAATTCCAGTAGAGCATTAGAATAATGAAATTAGGTTTACAAAGCATTAGCTTTGTGCTGCTTTGCTTCATTGTGATCTAGAAAGGTGGAGGGGTGAAAACACAGATGTTACATCCTTTCTTTTAATTGTGCTCTGCATTTGGTCTGTAATGTCAAGTCTTGCATGCATGCACCATTGCTCTCCCCTAGAAAAAATGTAAAGCTGTGTATATGAACTTCGTAGGTTCAGCTGCAGGTTGTTGTTTTGATGATCTGGAATCCATTTTCCAGACATTTTCCTTTCAGCTAGTGGCATGCATCTGCACAGCAAACTGCTAAATACTTCTAGAGGTTTGCATAACATGGTTTTGCATTACTTAAAATGCTTTGGTTATAGCTTTGTGTTACAGCAATTTTAACTACGCAACTGAATTTTGAAGTGATTGCTATAAGTGACTAGAGAACAGAGCTTGAAGAGACACAAGTGTGGATTTTAACAGGAGGATTGAAAGAAATTGAACCTGAAAATTTGGACTGAAAACCTTAGTATATTTACTGGGACAGCATTGTATTGGCCTCTAGGGCAGCCTTTCAGAGGAGTTTTTGGAACTTAAGTAGCGTAAATAATTTAAAGTAGATGAGAAAGATATTCTGGAAAATGTAAGTGGGAAGCCTTCCTTTTTTTTCGACAGTGAATTTAATTTTTCTTGTGTTTGATCAATACAAGCAGTATGTTTAAAACTGTTGCAAATGTTAAGATGTATGGTCTGTGTATTTAAGTTATACACAGTTGACTCTGTTTCTTTGGTTTGTGCAGGAACAGGAGCAAACAGATATGATTTGTTACAGTGTATGTACATTCCACATACATGTACAGTTTGGGCAAACGCACATGCTACTGCCATTTTTCTGTGTGTTTCTGCTTTCTTTTTTTTCACTTGCTTGCCCTATGCTGCTGACTTTTGTGGTCTGTGTTGTTCATTTAGGAGAATTGCAGAGTCATTAAATCGTCATCTCCCTTTGTTCTCAAAACGTCTTTAATTCAGCAGCTGATACTCCCCAGTAACCCAGGTTAGCTCTAGCAAGCTCTATTAGGGTGGGCTTTAAAGTGTAATTAAAATAACTCTTGTGTTCTGAAAACCTTGGGTACATGTCCATCCCCTCTTTACCTGCTACCGATGAGGACCAATTCTACATGTCACTTTTAGCAAGGGGTATGGTGGAAAAAAGCAGCAAAGTGAGCACCGGAGTAACAAGCTGCAGCTGTCCTTTAGTGCAAGTAGGTGCAGTATCATTAACCACTGCATAAAGCAGCATGCGCTTCGATCAGACCTGATTTGGGGCCCTGGAGTGATTCTATGCATGCATGGTGTTTTCAGCTTCTTGTTGCTTTCAGGTGAACAGAAAAGGGCTTGTGTGTTTGCAAGGTGAACAACTTGTTTCCACTTAGGTAATCAGCAGAGCTCTTACGTTACGTGATGGAGATTCAGCCTCCTCTTTTCAGCTTTTTCCTGCCATCTGTGGGAGGAGAAGGAAGGCATTAATAAGGGAAGTTGCCTCAGCCTCTAACAATTGTAATGAAGACTCTCAGAAACCCAGGAAAGGGTGTCTAATGGCTCGCAATTTCTGGGTACGGTGTAAAATCTGTGGTTACAGTATGGAGGCTGGCATGGACAGATGGAGACTGATGTAGACTCAGAGTCTTTTGGGGGAAGAAACAGCAATTCTGTGAGAATTACTATTCCTATGTAGCGCTCAGGAGTATTGGTCCTAAGTAAAGTGCTGGAAGGAAGCATGAGGTCTTGACTGGGAAAACAGTTTGATTCACTTGTTGCAGCTGATTTTCTAAGCATGAGAATTTAATAGCACTGATGAAGGGAGATTACTATTCCTACTATAATATCTTCCTAGTTTTGGTTTATGTGAGGTATTTTATGTGCCCTGTTCACTGGCAAGACAAACTGTAAGAGACAAACAGAATAAGGAGGAGAAGTACTGACAGAAAAAGGTGGGTTTATCTTTTGTATAAGAACAACAGAATATATTCAGGAAACTGAATAAAATGATTTAGGAATGAGTTTCCCAAGAGATGCCCTTCTGCATTTGCAATCTACAGAGGTCTTTGTATTCCTATAAACACAAAGAAGCTGCTGACAGGTGCTTAGCTTCAGTGCTTGTTTTCCGATGCTTTAAGTTCAGCCAAACCTAGATGTCTATACACAGCAAAGCCTGCCTTATTTTCTTTGGAATTAGAGGGGAAGAATGCATCCACATGTGCATGTATGATGATATATTGAATATTTATGGTGAGATGGTAATGATATGAGCGTGATATCTACCTAAGATTTTACATTTTAAATGCAAACGGTGGATTGTGAATAAGGATTCTGAGTATTTACTGATATGGATATTTACTTATTTTACATATCAGAGCAAAACTTAGAGAGGCATAGTAGTTTCTTTCCCTTGCTTATGTTCTAGCAAAAGGTGTTTCTGACTAGCAGCATTTTGGTCTAGAAGCTAACTTCCTTTTCAAGCTTTCCTGTGGTTTTCCGTAGGTAAATGTCAGCCAGCAGAATTTCTGGTGATAAATTTGTAATGCTGTTCATTAGCTTGGGACTCAAAGTGACCAACTTGCAACTCTTAAGAATTGTGCTGCTTTGCCAGTTTCTCCTTCAACTCTGTGTTCTGTAACCATCTCAAGACTTCATCTTTAGCTGAGGTCATTACCTGAATCAGGATGTTCCTAGTTCAAAATAGAAGTATACTGTTTATAACCTAACATGTTTACAATCTGACAGCTTCATGTGTTCTCCCAGGAGTGAATCAAAGATGTTAGTTTAATTCCTGTTGCACATCTATCTGTATCA